TACAGCCGGCTGTTCGAGCCGTCACAGCCCGGGCAGGGAGCGATCCTTCATCAGCCGATAACAGTTGGTATTGCTGGGAGGTCAGCCCAACTCCATTGTTTTTACAGCAATTTGCATTTTATTTTCCATAATGCTTTTTAATTTCACTTTTTCAATTATTACTTTGAGGCAACTGCTTTAATTATCTCTTATTCCACAAGGAGCCGCGGCTTCCCCTGGCTGCGCTGATGAGCCTCTCCACAGGCCAAGGCAGCGTCAGCACCTACTGCTAGCACTGTCCCCCTTGCCACGATTCCCGGGACAATCTCCTCGGGATTACCAGTGGAGAATTAAACTTTTAAACACCCACGGTGCCCCCTCCCGATGTGAGACTCGCCAAAGCAAATGGCACCACTGGAGACCGTGGCAGAACGCGCTCGCCTGCAAAGCCGGAGCAAGCTGCTTTCCCTAATCCAATGCAACGGGAATGCAATGAGCAGCAATGATGGATGGACTCATTAGTGCCGCAGTTATCTCCAGCTGAACCAGGTGCCAAGACATATGGTTTAGCAGATGTTCCAGCAAAGGGCTCTATTCTCTGCACCGCACAAGTGTCCAGTTAAGCTGGACACCGATAAGACGCCGCAAATCGCGTTGGGCTTATGGGAGTCACAATTGCTCCCAGCTCAGGAAGCAGTTTAAACACAGCACCATTATGCAAAAAACCCTATTGCTCTGATATCCCAATTAGAGCCACAGAGCAAATGCTGAACAACGTGCACAACACTTTCTAGACTCTGCGTACCAAAATGTTATTTATTTTACTCAGCCGATTCTATTTCCACACCCAGTAATGAAAGGAAGCTTAAAACAGTGGAGGCTTTCTTCACACAATAGAAAAATCGAATGAGCAAACAGATTTTTTTCCCTTCAAGTGTTTGCATTTCAATGTTAGAATGTTCTATGTGTGCACTACTCTTCCAAATATTTAATATTTAACATGTATCCATCCAGAAACCAGGATTAATGTGATTCTTGTTTGCAAGGCTATTTATTGACATAACTCCACTGGAATGCATGGTATTTCAAAGGAACAAAACAGAATCAGAAAGGCCTCTAATTACACTAATTCAACAAAGCAAGGTAAACAACAAAGTAAGGTGCAAAAAATTTTAATAAATTAAATAAATATTCTTGAAAAAAGTTATGCTGGCTTCCTATATTAAAAAAATCAGCAAGAATTACTGTTACCTTTTGAAATCTTAAAGACAAAGCACCAAAAGTCATACATTTTCTCTTGAAAATGTCCCTTTGTGCAGGCAGAAATGGTCGGTTACCATCCTGGGCTTGTAGATTCCTATCATACAACCCATGTACCTCAGTGTATACAGTGGCACTGAACAACAAATGTTATTTTCTCTCTACAGAAGAAACTTCAAGAGGAGGAAAAAATATATATATTGAAGGGGGGAAAAAAAAACAGAATTATAATCAAAAGGTGTGAGGGTGGGCAAAAAGAGGATACGCACCAAGACTGAATCCATTTTAAAAGGAAAAATCAATACTCATTTCATTTCAAACAAAACCTACGGATTTTGACCCTCTTTCCGAATTTACCAGTGACTAGGGAGCACAAAGAAAATGCTTCAGTAAACAAGTGTAACAGATCTGATGCAATTTTATGCCCCCCCCTCCCTCCCCCAAAAAAGTAGAGCTGTATGTCTGTCCTTCTGCTTCCACAGCCGGTGTTTGCCCTCTCACAAAAGGTCTGCTTCAGATCCTCTTGTTCAACTAGTTCAATCTCTTTATCTATGCAAACATTTGTTTTATATTAATGCAGGTGCAACTTTTAAACGTCCTGTGTTATCTTTACTGCTTATCTTTCAATGTCAGAGCTCTGACTGGCCCAGACCTTGCTCCAGTGGGGCTGCAAAATGTAGGGTGGAGAGGGGGGATATGAAAGCGGACAGGAGACCAGATATAATCTAAAAACAAACAAGCAAGAATAAGAGCCTAAGTGCATGAAGGCCAGCAGAAGTTCAATACAATGTTAATTTCTATTCGTCTGAAATGTTTATAGAAATATATTTATAGAATATCATCTGAGCTGATGAAAAGGCTGGTGCCGCAGCAATAAACACGAAAGAATCAGTGCATTGAAATGCTGTACCATTTCTCATCTATTTTTAGTTTCAGCCACACAAAGGTATGTGCACTTAATTAAACAGAGAAAAACAGAAGCTTGCAAATGTGCATATACACAGCTCATCTAATGTGCTACCAGGGCTTTTTCCCAATAACTAAAAAATTAAAACGGACACAGGACACCACAATAGATCAAGCTCCGGAGATCTCTCTTACTTACGTTCACACTGCTATGAGTCCTCCTACCTGCTTCAGACCAATCATTCTCATCTTTTCCCGTGTGCTTATACAGTTTGGTGATTCAGACACGAATCAAGATTCAGGCTCGCACAGCGGTGGTGCTTCACCCAGGGCCTCACTGCACGATTGGCAACACTGGGTTTTGCTCCCCGCTGCCTAATTTACTTTAGCCCTTTCTAAAGCGAGGGCTTGGGAAAGCCAGACAGTACCAGTACATTTGCTAACGAAGGCCGTAACTGCAAAACTCTATTATTTCAAAGCAAGCAAATGGGACCGCAGAATATTGCAAATATAAAAAGTCCCAGTATCCCAGATCACATTTAAGATCTTCACTTATCCAGTAATATGTTTTTTAGCAGATTTTTTGTTGCTTTTTTATTTTTTAAAGGAATATCTTTTCTCTTTCAATAAAAATATAACAAAAAGCTATTTTCTTTAACACAATGTACTTCAAAAGCATCCTTTTTCACATTTCTTTTTCTTTTTTCTTTTCAGTGGCTTTTTTGTTATGAGAAAAATACATTCCTGGAATATTTCAGCTCAGGGTTCTCAAAAACAATTACTTAGGCATTTGATTTGATCTGCTGGCTGCTCCTTCCTGGATATTCAGACTTTGAAACTCTGGATGGTCAAAGGTTAAAGTGAAGCTCTTCCAAGTCACTTTGAAACCTCATAAGGCCACAAACTTATTCCCCCTGGCTTTTAGGGAAAAGAGTCAGTTTGCTATTGGTTTTGCACAGTGGGAGTAGTAACTTGCTATGTTAGCTGTTTAATAAAGGAAGTTGAGAGAACTATAGTTGGTGATTTTTTATGTTGGGAAAGCAGAACACATGAGGAATAACGAGGACGGAAGAAGAAATTCCCCTTTAAATCAGTGAATACTTGGCAGTGTTTAAGGGAAAATAGGAGTCTAAATCCAAACACGCACATTCAGTGGCAAGCTATCTTCAAGAATATCAGAGCCCTTCATAATAGCAGAATCATCCAAAGGTCGAAGGGAACATCCATTCCTCACCCAACAAAAGAATCATCTTTTATCTTTTCTCCTACCCATTTCTGTGATAGAAAACCCATACAAAACCCCATGAAGGGGCAAAACATATGTTTTCTGTGTTGTTGTGACTGCTAACTGGTCTCCTCAAGGGAGGGACAGTGAGACAGGGTAATCCGTCAAACTTATCTGCCTGCAAGGTGGGAGCAGCATGGAAGCGTTCCAGCTGGCTGCCTCCCTTGGGCCCTGCTGACCAATTTTCCATCGAAGGTGGTGCTTTACCTTGTTTTTTGCATGCTCCTATTGCTAGAGCCCTGCCTTTGATCTACTAATCCAGGTTAATTTTGCATGTTTTGTGCACTCAGAGTGTTCGCAATTGGACTCTTCTTCTTCAAAGACGATGTTTTATATTTGTTCTGATTAAACATGTTCCTACTCAAAGACGTGAAAACCAGGTAATCCCTACCGATAAGATACCCTTTTACTAAATGCAGTGTTGTCACTGCTAGATTTATGTAAGGGTTGGTATTGCAGCACATTTATCCCACCATATATTTTACCTAGCATCCAATTTTTCTAATCTCATTCTATCTGTTAAAAAGATACTCCCTTTGAAATTCCAAGTTTTGCACATTCCTATATGCAATTGTTGCTCAAGATCTGTCTGTCCCATTATCTCTTAAAACAGTTTTCAAGCAGATTGGGAGGAACTGATTATAGTTCCTTTTAAAGTATTATGCTTGCCAAAAATACATATAGCATAAAGTTCCAAAAGTGTATTGAAATATACACTAAAAAAAAAGTTCTGTTTCAAAGGGCACATTTGAAAAGCATTAGAAAGCAGAAAGCTCATACATATATCTTAAGCATCGACTCTTTGAAATGTGAAAGTCACACATAACTAAATTGAATTTTATCCATGCCAAGCTGCAAAATAACAATTTTAAAGGAGCAGGCATAAACTTTTGCAATAGACCAGTAGCTGGTCTACCTAACTGGAAGCAACCTGCCTACAAACCCTGAAGAAAGCTTAACAATTTTCTAGAGTGAGAAAAACCACTCTGGTTTTATTCGTCTTCTATATTAAACATACATACTCCCAATAATTATATACTGATGGAAGTTGACGTGTGACACCCCCCCCACACACACACACACAAACACCCTATGGCGAGTCACACACACAGAGCACGCAGCAGTTACTTTTATGCTCTTCCATTAAATACACTGTTGAGAAAATAAGATACACATATGCGTGCACATAGACACACACATTCCTTCTGCTACCCGCTTGTCCAAGGAATTAATTTTAATTTTTATGATAAAAATTATTCTTAAAATTATGACAGCTTATTGTTACATCTCTGTTTAACTAGACATCCAATGCTGATTACATGTATTTCTTGCTAATAAAATTTGCTGATTTCAGGTGGAGGCACTGATTTGAGGTAGAGAAGGATCACGAAAGGCTTAACGAAAAACATTAAACCAAGAAAAATGTTTATATGCTTCTCCATTTAATCAAATTTAAATTTTACTTAAACTAGTTTATATGCAGAAGAGAAAAGGCTTAGAAATTTAAATATCTCACCTCCAGAAACAACCTTATCCTCTAGCCAAAGAGACTTGGATGAGTTGGCCTTACCTGAAGCCATAACTTGTTATTCACTGCATCTCTCCCTGTAGCAATGCATTGAAATGTAGCATTCTGCCCTGCATTGACCTCTACATCTCCCAGCCTCAAGAAATGTGGAGATTTATCTGCAGAGGTGGAAAACAAAAATTACAAATAATTATTATTATTAAGAAAAAAGGTGCCAGCAATGTGACTATCTCCCAAAAGATGCATATTAAAACAACGTTTGGCTAAAAAACAGAAGCAGAAGAAAGAAAATGATTTGTTTCATCTCAGTTCAAGAAAAAACAGTGCTTCTAGTTCTTTCCCTTCTCTCTAGTGATTCTGCTACTTTACGTTGTACATGAATTATTATAAAGTCTTTCACAAATCAAAGCCAAAAGGAGGAGATCAAATGCCAAAATGTCAGTAGCACATTACAAAAATTATCCCAAAGTATTTCTATTGTATAAAATCTATCATACTGAGAAGAAGCCAATTAGCAGGATAGTGCTCATGTAAAAAGGTAGATATTACCCAGATTATTTGCAGTATAACTTTGAGTTCTATTGTATTAATGAAACTACATGTTCCACTGAATATAGCGTTTCAGTACAAACCTCTTCCCTATATTGACAAAGCCCCTAGGAAAGCTCTGTGGCACAAACACCAGAATGATTTTTTAGATACAAAAAAGCTGACAGACAAATGGGAGGAAAAGATTTTACTACAGCTACACAGCTGTAGATTTTACTAAAAGCTTTTACTAAAGATTTTACTAAAATCTTTTTATCAAAAAATCATTTTACTTTTTACTAAAGATTTTACTAAAAGATTTTACCAAAGCTACACAGCACTCACATCCCTTTCTCAAAAACTACTAGCTAAAACAGTAGTAGAAATACTATTACTTAGTACTTACAAAAATAAGCAAAAAAAGAGAGACAGCAATTTGGAATGAATGGGGTTTAGTCATCACTAACTAGAAAAGATCTTAACTGGCTACTGTATCATGCTGATAATCTCCTACCATGGCTGTAGTCAAGTGCTTTTTGTTTTGTCACTTATTTCAAACACAACGAAACAAAAACTGAGTCCAAGCAGAACGTTGCTGAGTGCAGAGATCATGCTGGCTGAAATGCCACAAGGTAGGTAACTCAAACACTCCCTTAAGTTTGGGAGCTTGTTGTTAAGCTCTATGCTCTTAACAGACGTGGAGGTAGAAGATGATAAAATGTGAGACTGCACTTGCAACTTGATTACTTGACATAACTCAGCCGATTTGGTCATAACCAACCATGATATTTTTGGAAAAAAAATAAATTACAAACCATGAGGTATACTACAATAAAATTATGTTTTAGAAAGGGGACACCTGGGCAAAATAAGGAAGAGTGGAATTGAACCAAATGAACAAGAAGCGCGGTGATAATAAATGACTGAAGTGCACATTATTGATTTCCTCCTCACACCTTTGTATTAGTACAACATTAGAATTCATCCAACTTCTGTTTGCACATGTGTAATTCTTCCCTGGGATTAAGCAGGGAAAGCAAATATAAAAGCCTGAAGCCTGCCTAAATAAATAAATAAATAAATAAAAGGAAAAAAGAGAAACAGGCATGAAATCTAACAAACCTCCAACATGCATCTGTCAAGTAAGTTTATTGTAATCAGTGAATTACACATTAACATTAAAACCCATTTTGATTATGTATAGCAACTATTTACAACTAAAATAAACAGTGCTGAAGAAAAGCTTTATTCTAAAGTATTCCATGAATACAAAAGAGTAAAAAAAAAAAAAAAAAAAAAACCCCTTTACCTAAGTAAATCACTACTACAATACTACATTTTCCCCTGGAAGTTGCAATAGAAATGCGATTGAAAGAACAAAGAACATCAGTGAACAAGTGATGAAAACTCAGCAGTCTACAGCACTATCAAATGTGTCCTGAAAAGACAGAGAAAAATGCAGCTCTTAATCATTACTTACCACAAGGGTAACTCAGAACCTGGATGTCATCAATGGCAATGTAGCCATTTCTCCCTTCTGAGACTTCAGCTTCAAATATTACCTGTCAAAATGAAAGAAAAAATGTTTACAACACTCATTTCTACAGAATTCCCACAATGGCAAGTGTGTAGATATAAGACACATTGCTTTTTCATTTAGTTGAAGTTCCTACTAGGCTTGACAACTGAATGGAATATTTATTACTTAATGTGTTGTACCATTCAAATACACAAATTTGGATTTGCTGCTTATGGCAGGCCAGAAAAGCATGTTTATTACCTCAGTTAATTGCATACTATTTTCACTCCCCTAAACATTTAAACACAATTCAATTCTGAAAAACACCATTACTTTTCAACATCACTACACAAATGGCCAACAATTTTAACAAAATCTGTATTCTTGGCGTGTCCACTTTTGTAACACTCCCCAGTGGCAACGAAAAGAGCTGTAGCGTGATGGTTTTGCAGTAGCAGTTAACTTCCTTCGTTATTCTGGTAAGGCAGTGAGGAACTTGCTGTGAGTGGAGCAAATGAAGAGATCACGTTCACATCCCAGCTTCTTGCCTCACTCCAAACAAGCAGTAACAAGAATCGGTTTTGGGTTGCTCTCAAGCACAGAGCTGCCTGTTGCTACAGATATGGCAAAACAGTATCAAACTGAACACAACAAATTCATTGTCAAGATTCATACTGCCTTGGTACAAAAAAGTATAGGGAGAGCAAGGGGACAGAAATCAGAAGTGAAAAAAAAAAAAAAAGGATTAAGCCTGAATCTCTAGGCTATATAGAAAGTATGAGAAAGAAAAGCACTAAAATTGTTTGATTAAAGCAAGGTGATAAAAACTTTCAGTAGAGATCTCCCAAAATAAGTAAGCCACCATTGATATCTTCTGCACAAGACAGTTGCACTACCTGCAGTCCTTTCAGGAGGTGATATCTCCCAATTCTCAGGGATACGGTAAGGGAGCAGTAAAGGCAAGAGACTGATAACCTGTCATACTCTGCAGGCAGGTGGGAGAAAGCCAGCCCCACCAAGCACCTTTCTCATCTTCTAACTGGGAGATCTCCCCCCTGCACCCACTTCAGAAGAAATGTTCATGGTGAATCCTGCACTTTCTTTAATCTCAAGAGAGTCCTATGTGCAAGTGGCTGCCAGCTGCCCCAACCTCTTGCAGCTTCTTTTGGACCTTTGCTTCACAAAAATTACTCTCTTCAGCAAAACACTTCGTGTTCACTCGACTTGCCTCTAAATCCTGCATCAGAAATTCCTCAGTGCTTATGATCCACTCACTCCACTTCCTCACCCACACATCCCAGACAGCGACAAAGTGCAATGCCTTTTCCCACCAAAGAAAAACTGCCAGAGAAAATTTGACTCAGAAAGGTGGATATGCGCATGCTCAAGACGTGAATCCACTAACTCATGCTCCTATGATAGGAAGAGAAGTGCAGGGCACATATACTTCGAGAGCACCAGGCTATAGTCCCTTTACCAACTTCTCCAGAACCTCTTGCTGAGGTTCTTTCTTCACTCTTTTTCCTTTTCATTTATACTCACCTCATTTGAATCACAGAAATCTCTTAATTCTCTTCATCCTCCTCCTCCTTTAATAGTACCACATTTAGAATGCGGAAGAAAAAAATAAATTGTTTATATAAAAGACAGCAATCTAAAATGCTAAGAAGTCAGAGCAGAAACTAAGGTATTTCTCTCTTTATCACATACACAAACTGTATTTGAGGAAAAAAAAAAACAGACATTTTGACTACCCTTTTCACCAAAGTAAGCTTATCCTCACGGATAAACTAGGGAGTGAATCCTGTCAGCTAGTCTGAATTGCTGTTCAGTTTACATTTATATAAATATGGCAAAAAATGCTTGTACTTTAGTTGAAAAAAGCAAATCAGATTATCACTCTAATAAAAAAAATTATTTGTCTATACAACTATAATTACACTTTCTCTTATTACAAATTTGATTGCATCTTCCTGTAGTATATTTTGAGACATATTTGCTTCATTTAATGGATAGGGTAGATTGATCGTTAGAAAACAATCAGGCTTGTACACAGAAGAGTTCTGGAGACAGTTATCCTGTCTCATCTGATACAGGAGTCAGTGAAATGAATGAGAATGGGAAATGTTGAAAAGCTCAGGTTAGCTAGATGCTTTTCAGAGGAATTAGATTTGACCCCTTGAATTTTCTGCAGAATTCCTATCTAGTGCTTGAATAGTTCCTTACACCACCCTTTTCCAAATAAAGTGATATGTCCTTGTTTATGAAGTACCTCAATTCAGACGCAAACAAAAATATGTCAAAAATACCTGTACTGGACATGCTTTTGTGTATTTAACAACATGCAGAGCATCTCTCTTCCATACATTTGCTCATTTCCTCCCCCAAAGCCATGCAAACATTTAAAGAATATAGTTTAATTCAGGCAAATCTACAGATCTATTATTGACAGCATTACAAAATGAACAAATGTGTTTATCTTTTACGTGACTGCCCTTAATAACTCACACCAGTGACAAATTAATCCCAGTCATTCTGCTATGCTATTTATGACTTTGTAGACTTCTATTGATGCTCTCAAGATCTTCTATTTAAGTTTAAAAAAATCCTGGATTACTTGGTCATTCATATAGTGACCACTCCCTTCCTCCAATTATCTTTTGTCTCCTTCTCTGAACCTCCTCCTAGTTAGTACTAACATCTCTCAGGATAAGGGTAGAACTAGTGCACAGTAATCAAGATGCTTTTTTGATCATCACTGGGCTACAGGCTGACCTTTTTATGAACCTTACGATCTTGTTGAGTGTGAATGGAAACTCAGAACCCATCGTTGTGTGTGTGAAATTAGGATTTTATACAGTGTGCCTTATTTTAT